TGCTTCAAAAGTGACAAGGTTGCAGAGGTCTCTTATGCCAGTAAGTCAACTATCATCCGTTGATTTTTTGGTCTGTATACTAAGCAGAAGCACAGCCATCCAAGGCAAAGATTGCCTGGTCCAGAAATTCCGTAATAGCTCGGTGATGCTTGAGGCACCTCACTATCGCCCTAAGGTAATTAGGCATCTTTAAGAAGTATTCGAGCGGTAGTTGACTGTTTACTAGCTTTTCTATACCCTAAACGGACCACGCCCTGACTTGGCTGGAGAGGAGGAGCCATTCCCTGAGCCTGACAACCAATCGAAGATGAAGAGAAGCTGTGAAAACGCAGAACACGTGGGTATGTTGAACCTGCGCTATATGTTCCAGAGAGAATGACTACTGATTGCATTCAATTAGGCCTTTTTACCCCCAATGCAGGCCAGCATTTCCGTGACGAGCAACGACGTCGCCGTTCTCAATTCGATCGAGGAAACCCGCGACTCGAGGAGTATGACTACGATGCAGCTATTTGCCGTCAGAGTTATTACCCCCCTCAGTAAGGTCTTAGAGGTTTTTGTAACCGCCTCTCGAAAGACTTCCGTTTGATTTTTTTTTGTCTTTTTTTCGCATCTGCCGGATTCGTCTCGATACAAATCGTCCACGGATCCACAACACTTCTAGTGTCACTAGAATTTCAGAGCACCTGCTTTATTTACCGAAATCTGCTTGCTAGTAAGTATCATCTATATTGTCATTTGCAATTACGTTAGTTGACACGGAGTGACTGAGCTAACCTTAATATAGGTTTGACGATGCCTTCACTGTTTTCGTGTCTTTTAGAGGGGTTTATTGATACTGGGAAGGGTTCCAATTTAAGGAGAAACCACCAGCACCCTAAACTCATTATTCATAACAATCCAACAAACAAAAGTAAAAAGAAATTCATCACGACCATATGGCATCTAAATGGCCATCAAAAACCATAACGACTTGAATTGCAAATTATTGTCGAATTTCGCCGGCGGAGAGAATTCACAATATTTCCGCTCCAGTAATAGAGCCACAATTTTATCTCGCCCTCAAATATCCGATCGGTTTCCGCAGCGCCTCTAATATTTGCGGGAAATCTACGAAAGTGTGGTTGGTTTGGGTTTCGAGATGTTGCCTACCAGACTTCTCGGACTTGCAACAAATTCAACTACCTACCCCAGGGGCAACACCTGGACTGCGCACTAATAACGTTTTCCTTTTCTTTGGTGCGAATTTTGGGAGATTCTGAGTTTCTAGACCAACTATTGCTATCGAGTCATATTACTCGGGAAGATTTTCAGCCTCTACATTGTTTCGGGCATCTCTTGATGCACCCCCGGGGTCATCGTGTATAATGGAAGATCGGAGTTCCATCATACTCGACAGAAGGCCATCTCGAACGACCAGGAGAATTGATGCCACCATAGTTAGGCTTATGGTTGGTGCTTGGTTCAGATTGGCCTGGTTTATTAGACTGGGGCATCAACTTTGGCAGGACGGAGAGGGGTAGAACGTGCTTGATCTATTGCAGAAAATTAGAAAAAAATAGCGTAGCTTTACATGGCATGGGGAGTGGCGACTGCTTTTATCTTTTACGCTTATACTTAGCATTAGATCTTGGGCGTGATAGGCAACAATAAAATGCATTTCTCGCAAATACTTGACCCACTAAGATAGGTGCCTCCTAATTCTTCTTGATTAATCGTGTTCTCATTATTCATAGCTTCCTGGCTTTAAAGCTAAATAAACTAACTCATAACTCTGTATACACTAATCTGGATCCTCTGGTAAAGTAGGTAGCGGCTTTTGCGCTGATATAGAATGCGTCAGAGGCGGCCTACTCGATAGAGGTATATACTCTACACCATCGGTCTCCGATGATGGTGTCAACTGCCTCTCTGATTTCTTAGCCAGCCCTTCAGGGTAACTCAACGCGCTGCTCTTCCCACTGTCAACCACTGTAGAGTAGTACTCTCCCTCCCTAGATGGCGTCATGGCCGGCTCCGAGTCGTAACCCGCTTCTACGCTCGACAGCGCGGGGGCCCGGTAGAAACCAGTTGATGAGGGCTCGGACGTGACTCTGTTCGGCGAGGGCCTTCCATGGCTTACGGACTCGGGAGTCTCATTGATGCTGATAACACCAGCTCTAGAGGAACTCATCCTCCGCGGTCGGTGATGTAGGGAAGAATCTGGCGTCTGGCTTGGACTGCGATGCAGATGAGATTGTTGAGGGGTGCTGGGGATGGGGACGGGACTAGCGTCCCCTGGGGAGAGCATCGCTGTTCCGTCACGGCGGTGATGCTGGGCTCTAGGCGTAGACGGGAAGATAGGAGACGCAAGTCTCGAGGGGCCGCCACCGCCAAAGAACTGAGCGGGATAATACGAAGACTCAGCAGCGGCTTGAGCGAGACCGCCGCGGGAGAAAATAACGAGGATAAGACAGCCTAGAAGCAGGACGCTCTGGACAATAGCCATGCGTTTTTGAAAAATGACCTCGTCGGCGAGGGCGCCGAGGCGGGAAGATAGAGCAACGATCTCGCGCTCGGACTGCTCGCGCTGGGTCTCGAGGGCGATGACGGTGGACTGCCAGATCTGGTCGTACTGGACGCGGACCTCGCGCAGCTCGCCGAGGACCGTCTTATTTAGGGTATCTAGGAACAAGTCTACCTTGGCTACTTGACGCCTCTCAAGGCGCGCTAGCGCTTCTCGTAAGAATCGCGATTGCGACTCGATGTATTGTAGAGATAAAGTTGTGTTAGACTCGAGAGCTTGGATACGCTTATTAAGCGCTTTGAAGAAGGAGTCCTGGACTGTGTGCGCAGGGGCGGCGGATGAGGTTGTGGTTGTGGTTTTGTTGCGTGGCGTTGTGGGGGAGCCGGAGGGCTGACCCTTAGATGCAGCGGACCGTGAAGACGGTGGTTTTACAACAGAGGTCGAAGCGGATGTCTTACTCTTAGGAGGCGACTGTACGCTAGCGGTCTTTACAAGGTTTGGAGTCGCGACCGTGGTGGATGTAGTAGCAGTTGTTGTTGTTGGTGGTGTTACAGTAGCTGACCTTGAATCTGGAGATGACGTTGATACGGGAGAGGATTCAGTTGAATTTACGATGGCTGTACTCGCTGCTGTCTCGTTTGAACTGCTTGGATATGCAGATCTCACCGAGTCTGCTGTTACTTGACTAGCGGACTGCGATGTTGGAGTTGTTGATGAAGATGCGCTTGAGCTAATTGAAATTGTTGGTTCGACAGTCCTTACGGGTTGCGGCTTAGCTGCTGTTTTATTCTTGTCGTTTTCCTTGCTTCGTTGGGACGTGTAGTCCTCTGCACCAGCTGCTTCGCAAGTAGCGTTAAAGGGGTAGTGATAGTGGAAATAGTTCTTGTCCCAGTAGGGAATTAATTCACTCTGCTCCGAGCGTATTACCTGATCCTCGGGCTGAAGGGGTTGAGCAACCTCAACTTCTTCGGTCTGGGTTTCAGGTTCTTCAACCGTCTCCTCAGGGGCTTCGGATATTGTCTTGTCCTCTTCGGGCTCAAGGTCAGCAGGGTCGGCCTCTTTCCATGAGTCTAGCATGCGTGTGCCGTGGACTCGCAGCAGGGACATGGGGCAATAATACTCATTGCCATAATGGCTTAGAATCTCGATTCGCAAGTACTTAGCCCAGATTTGAGGGTTCTCGACTAGGAATGGCTGAATATCTCTGGAATTACGAGCCTCAAAGGTACCTAATACCTTCCACTTCTCTAGCTTGACGGGATATCGATCGCTTACACTAACTCGAAAGTGGCGTATCATGCTAGAGAAGAATTCGAAATTGGCTATCACAACAGTATCGACTAGGATATCGTCGCTCAGTTCGATAATAACAAACTTGTTCTGCATAGCACACTCAAGGAGCATGTACGTGTCCTTATTTTCGACTAGGATGGCCCTGGGGTTCTTAGCACCAGGACTCGCCTTCTTTACCGTTGCGCCGGCATCGAACGAGGCGTACGAAAGCCTCTCCTTACACGTTTTCCCAGCATCCTTACTACGATAGCCTTGAGCCAGCCCCTCGTCGTAGTTAACCTTCTCAACCTGCTTTTCCTTTTCTTTCTCTTTCTGCGATGGCTTCGACGACGACGCTATCTCGGAAATCCTATCAGAATATGCGTCAAAGTCGAGCGACACCTCGCCTTCGTCCCCGAGACTATCGAAGTCCTCTCCGGGGTCCGCATCGCCGTGCGTTTCTTTACTCTTACGCTGTCTCGGTTCCAGCGCATCCTGCCCGGATTTCTCGAGCATCATAGCTTTCCATTCTTCGAATGACATAAAAGCACCTGTGCTAAGGTCATTGCCATCGGCGTCCAGCTCTTCATGACGATCGGTGCTATCAGCGCTGGGCGTGGAGTCGACGGGTATAGAAGTAGGGGTGACGGTGGCGCTAACAGATGCGGGAGTAGAGAATGACGATGGAGCGGAGGTAAGACATTGCTGAGGTAGGGTATGAGTGATGTAGTTCACGGTCCTCGACTCGCACGTGGGCTCGGCTGAGGCGGCACTCGAGGGAGATTTTGCGACATCGTGGGTGGTGGAGATACTCGAATTGACCTGAGCAAATGCATGGCCTGCGATTAAAAGCAGACGTAAAGAGAGATTATTTACACGTCGCCTCTCGGATGCGAGCCACATTGCAAGTGTGGTAAGGACTCGCGTCGAGCAACAAGACAGTCCATATGGTAAAAAGTGTAAAGTGTAAAGTGTAAAGGAAAAGGAAAAGTGAAGAAAGTAAATTACAACAGGTGCGGATGTAGATTACAGATGTCGATCCCAAAAGACATAATTTCATGTACATCTACATTAGTGACAGCACCTGCAGTTGTTGCTGATGCCGTTTCATTATTACTCAAAGTGGTTTAGCTACATGTACCTAAGATTTGTATTAACTAGGAGGTAGTTATGTAGACTTTTAGGCCTTTCTGGGGGAGGACCGTGCTTTCCATTTTCCATGTGGGGAGAACCTACTTATTGAAGTTATAACCAAATAGGTGACTACCTTGGTCCGCGAATAACCCAGGTAACGACTCCCCACCTGCATATTTTCGTACATAGCTACTGGGTGGAAAGAATTATAGGAGAGTTACAAAGTTACATATTCCGTACACAGCAGATGGATACATACCTAACCTAACATCTCTATTCCACAAGTTGCAACTTACACAATCCGTTTGCACAACATAAACACTTCAAGATGGTTGATAACCTGTCAGCCAAGTTCGAACAAGCTCTCATCTTAACATCATCCAAGAACACCGACACGTCCTGTTTACTTCTCGGTCTTCCTGTGGAGCTCGTTTTATACATATTATCCCTCCTCGACCCTAGACATGTCGCACTTTTCTCTTTAACTTGCAAGGCCTCTTCCCGCCTCGTCCGGGGTACCGACTACGGCAAGGTTTGCCTTGCTTCTATCCATAGTGCTCTACACACCGACCTAGATCAAGCCTCGAGAGAGAGAACCGAGTTCCTTCATCACTTGGTAAAGGACCTCCCGCATATGTTTGTCTGCAAACGCTGCTCAAAGCTCCATCGAAATCTCGTCAGTCTAGTTGAAGAGGGTCCGCATGCTCTGAAAAATTATACCTCAATCTGTCGTCAAAAAGGTCTTATGACTTTTGGTACTCTATGGCCACAATACGCCTTCACTTGCAAACAGGGCCGTGAGGCTATAAGGAATTGTAGCAGCGGTATGGAACCTAACCTTGCAACTTCCCATCTCTCTATATCCACCGACTGGAAGCTTAGGAGGTTAGGAACATCTTGCAACAATCCGGACTTCATCCATGGGTACGTCAAGTTGGACACCGAAGCAGCAGTCGAGAACGACAACTTATACTTCCATAAGATCCAACGGATACTCCTTCTCCCAGACAGAGTCAAGCCTTTTCTCAAGGCGAACGCTTCGTCCCCCATGGAGCAAGTTTTCCAATCTTGCTGCCACGGCACTGAATTTCGGTCGACGTTCCGTCCCTTCCTGGATCTGTTGGATTGGAATGGTCTCCATAAAATGAGTGTGCATGATACCATCTCCAAGTTCGTCACTATGGCACATGAAAGCCTATTTTCAACGAAGCCAGCCGGGCTGGACGGTTACGACCTGGAGAGGGTTTCGCTACCCAACTATTGGTTTGCAGGTTGTAAACACTGCACGACTGATAGTATCACCACCATTCATAACCACGGCCGCAGCGGAGTCGAGATAGTGAATGACACCTACCAGGATCTCGGTGATTGTATCGACCATGTTATCCGGAATTGTGACCGCTACGTTGGTAATGAATGGGGGCATTGTTGGTCGGGCCTAAGCTACGAATATCGAATTCTCTTATCCAGGCGGCAGGACCACCCCCAAGTCAATGCTGGAATATTTATGACACGTCCTGGTACAAGTGCTATACATCACCCATCTGCACCAAGTACCCAAGATATCTGGGAGTTGCATGATCACGACCGAGCAGCCAAATCGAGGTCATCTTGAGGATACCTGAGGAGGATATGAGCGTTGGCGTTTGGAAAGTTATAAGGGGAATAGATATACCACAATGTAACCGCTTATGTCGTTCGGTACCCAGGGTAGCCAGTCAGTCTTAAGGGATTGTAGCTAATTCTACCTAAGCTAAACGAATAAAAAAACATCCAACACGACGAAGTCGTTTATTGGAGAGAACACTCAAGTCTTAAAGCTATATATCCCAGCCAACCCCTCTACAACCTGGTGAGTTGGCTCTGCGTAACTATTGGTAATACTACCTATTGTCCATTACCATGATATCTACTACATAATACGAAGCCTCTGGGAATCCGATTCGATATCCGTTTAGATACGCGCGAATTAATTTCATTCAACCAAGTCTGTAATCTACCTGGGGTAGTCAGTCACGACCACGTCGTCTCACATACCATCACATTTATTAGAAATGCAACGAACTAAAAGCTTTATCAAGATACATCTAACAGCACACTAGCGTACGTATGTAGTAGAATCTGGTGTTTAAGAGTGGTTATTCGATGAGAACAGGGCAGCCAGCCAGAGGGCGGCCCAGGGTATTGCTAAAGGTAGCTTCGCCAAAAAATACTTCGTTTGGTGTTTGTGGTACACATGCCGTTCGTTTCCTCTTTGCCCGTCGCCAAGTAATAGAAGAAGAACCACACCTCCTTGTACGCCTTATTTCTCTGCCGCTCGAGGCCCCGGACCTTCCCGGCCTCGGCCAGATCTTTACTTGCAAAAACCACAATGTCGACGGAACCGTCCGGAAAAAGAAAACAAAACATGATTATTTGTTGTAGTTGTCAACGACTCGCTTGACTATTATCTTAGGTAAGTCGTCCCATCCCATAGATACCTACTCATTGTTCAACTCATTGCTCACCATCGCTTTGACCGCCCCCTATGCCCGCGTTACCCTGGTTGCTGCCGTTAGTTACCAACTTTATCCTTGTGGTATTCGCAGAAGACTGAGGCGTTCCTGCGCTCGTGCTAGGAGCTACCGAACTGTCTTTTGCAGATGGGTCTTCGAGCTCGGCTAATTCCGGATGCTCGTTAAGTTCTTCCTGTGCTCGGTCATTGAAGAATTTCTATGCTGAATTAGTATGATGGCTTAGGATCGAGTCGGGTTTCAACTAAACATAACATACCTCCATGACAATTGCGTCTGAGTAAAGAAGACTTCCGTCTTCATTGTACGTTTTGCAATTGCTGCACATTAGGACGATATCTCTACGCATATCATTGATGCTATTATACTCCTCCCTTTTAATCTTGGCCTGAATTTGATTCATACAAATCGGGTTGTGGATGAGGACATAATAGTCACCATAGTCGCGTTTGGATGGTAACTTGACGAATGGTCCTATGATTAGTCGCTTGGTTGGCTCGTCATCATCGTCATCATCGTCGATCTGATCTTCAGGAGCTATGTCGGCTTCGAGATTCATCAATCCATCATAAAGATTGCGTAGACTCTTCTGGAGAACTTGCCGTAACTCGGGGCCAAGACGCGAATCGCTACCGTTACCCATCGACGCTCTTGGGCGCCCTTGAGGCCCGCGTCGCTTTTTAACAGGTGGTTCGCCATCATCATCTTCAGCCTTCCGTTTCTCGTTCTTACTGCCGGGCTTGCGACCACGCTTCTTGGGTGGCGTTTCGATTTCTTCGGTGCTCGCACGGCTCGCATTAGGAGAGTTGGCGCTTGACGCATTGTTAAGTACAGCTATCCTCTTCAGCTTGTTTGTTTCCCGTTTGTCCTTCTTAGCTTGCTTTCGCGCTGCTGCCGCCTCTGGACTGTCATCGTCATCGTCGACAGCCATTAGCCACTGTTCCTCAGTAAGGCCGTCGTCATATTTGACTCGGGTCCGCTCTCGCGCCCCACGACCTAAGACCTCTTCTGGCTCTTCGCCAACAGGATTACCATCCGTCATGTATATTTCTGGAAGCTCGTCTTCGGTCATGAGCCGCGGAATGCGCTTCGAACCTGGACCGTTGCCGTACAGAGGATCCGCCGCACGTTCTTCATCAATTTGCTGGAAAACGGTAACTTCATTCTCACTTCGCGCAAGAATCATGTTCAACTCTTCGTCATCCATCTCGTCTTGTTCACCAGACTCGGCTAAATCTGCAGATTCCAACAGCGTCCGAAGCATGGCATCACGATCAGTCTCCGACGACTTATTATCAAAACGACCGGCTTGGATAACTTTTTCGTCCATATCAAGCTTGAATTTGGCACGTTCCAAGATCTTCTCTTCAACCGAATTCGAGGTGATTAGACGGAGAATACGCACTTCATTCTTTTGGCCAATACGATGGGCACGATCCTGAGCTTGTAGATCCTGGTGGGGATTCCAATCCGAATCATAGATGATGACGGTGTCGGCAGTTTGCAAGTTCAAACCTAAACCACCAGCGCGAGTGGACAGTAAAAACATGAAATACGGCGAGTCCGGGGCATTGAAGGCCTTCAGAAGATCTGATCGCTCGTCAGATTTAGTGTTACCGTCTAAGCGCAGGTACTGGATTCCACGGAATCTCAAGAAATCTTCCATGATGTCCATAATCGCAGTCATCTGGAAGAACATCAAGACACGATGTCCCGTGGCTTTGTACTTGGGCAGGATTCGATCTAGTAGTTCGAATTTACCTGCTGTTCGCCAGAGAAGATCATTGCTGGTGTTCGTAGGGTTCATCTGGTTCTCTACCTCATCAAAAACAAAAGGATGATTGCAGAGTTTTCGGAGCTGCATGATCATATTGCTAAGACCTTGAGTTTTGGTCTTGCCACCCTTTCCGTCGCTGATCGTAATCTTCTGGTGTGTGACCATCTGCTTATACAGACGAGATTGAAGGGCAGAGAATTTGCACTTGATAACCTTCTCGGTCTTGTCCGGCAAATCTTTCTCGACATCCTTCTTGAGACGACGAAGTAGGAACGGTCGCAGCACTTTGTGAAGACGGCGAATGACGAGGATCTGTTCTTCTTCATTCAACTCCATCTTGTCTTGCCCGCCGGTATTTGCGAACGGGGTGTTGAACCATTCATCGAATGTCTTCACCGACTTAAAAATATTTGGAAGGACAAAGTTGAGCATTGCCCACAATTCACCCAGGTTATTTTGAAGAGGAGTACCAGTAAGAATGAGACGGAATCGAGTGCTGTAGTACTGAGAAATCGTAGCACTCAACTTCGAATTAGTGTTCTTCATACGATGTCCTTCGTCAATAATCATGTGAAACCACTTAATCTTACTCAAGATCGGGCGGTCTTTAATAATGTATTCGTAAGTTGTTAATAGAACCTGGAACTTCCCTTGGCGAATCTTCTCTTGATGCTGCTTTCGTGCGTTTGGAGGTCCCTTGTAGACGATACGGCTGACAGACGGAGCCCACTTCTCAAACTCCAGGTTCCAGTTTGTCAAAGTACTTAGAGGCACGATCACAAGATACGGGCCACGCTGAAGCTTGCGCTCAATTAGGTAAGTGATCAAGCTGATTGTCTGGATCGTCTTGCCGAGACCCATTTCGTCGGCGAGAATACCGTTGAGGTTGTTGTTGTAAAGCGAAAGCATCCATTGCAATCCTTTAATCTGGTATTCCTTGAGAGTACCACCGACCAGGATATTGGCTTGCTCTGTGACTTCTTCCTTAACACGATGGGCTACGGCATAGTAGTCAATCTTGCGGCCGGCCTCTTCATCTTCCTCGTCAATCTCGCTCTCTTCATCCTGCATGAATTCACCAACTTCGTCACCATAGCGTTCTGCAGCTTGTCGCTGCTGCGCTTTAACAGAAGATGCTAGCTGATGCAAGAATCCATCGGTCTGTCTAAGAAGGTGCGTGATACGAGTATCCTTCGCCTGATCGAGTAGCTTAAGGTAAGCTTCTTCATCGTTTGCCTTAAGCGCCTGAAGACGCTGTTTAGCAGTACGCTCAATGCGTTTCTGTTCTTCCTTTTCAATGTTGAAATGGTGCACATGCATAGCTCTTCCCATTCTCGACATCTTACTCCTGGCAGACTGAGCTGAACTAGCAATTTCGGCCTTATGATGTTGTACTGATTGGAGGAAGTCAATATGCTTCTTCTTCTCGCGAGTTTCGCGAGCGTCTCGCTGCTGCTTCTCGAGCTTCTCGGTAATACGAGCCTCTCGCACGCTCTGCTTCTTGGTTCGTCGATACTGACTACGATTAGTAGTCATTGCCAGATTATCATAATGCATCATCTGGCGACCGATTTTCTCGCGTAAAGCGCGCTGCTTGGCATATAGCCCGAGCGACTTCAACTCTATGATGGCCTTCCTTTTCAATGTGTCATCAGGATCGAGGCTCTCCTTAACAGTGTCCCAATGGGCAATATTCCCAGGTAGAGCTTTTAGCTCGGCATATCTCGCCTTCATACGATTGAAGATTATAATTTCTCGCTCATGCCTCAATTGCTCAAAGTCGACCCCAGTAGGGAATATACTAGGGATGATAAGGCGCTGCTTTCGTTGCCCATGGTCGTAATAGCTGATGTCTTTGCGTACAAGGCCACCCTCGTAAGGGGATTTAATTGTCTTGAAAGTCCGACCCTTCGGTAATGAAGCTTCAGACTCAACTTCCCCGTCCGGAGGAGTAGAGCCAGCCTTTGCCGGTTCGGGTACTGGGGTTGCGGCAGCTGGAGCTGAAGCAGGAGGCTGAGTTGATTGTTCAGCAACTGCCTGCCTTCGTTGACGCTGCGCATTTAACGCCTGTTGCATCTGGTACGGTACCCCGGTATTCTTGCTGAGCAGCTTGAAAGCTTGGATCTGCTGCCTAAGGAGGCCCAGCTGTTGAGGAGAGAATTGGGCCATTGGAGACGTCGTCGAAGGCGAAGACGTGGTTGGCTGGGCGGTGGGTCCTGCGCTGGAAGGTAACGCAGAAGTGCTCAAAGCAGTTGATGGGGGAGGCTGCGTGGTATGCGGGGCGGGCTGTTGTTGTTGTGGTCGCGGACCGGGTTGAGTCCCATTGGCATTGCCATTAGGAGCATTCTGTCCCATCTGCGCGCTCTGCATCTGTAGATAACTTTGCTGTTTACGTATTCGCTGCTGTTGGAAGTTCATCAAGAATTGACTCGTCTTCACAAACTCAGGATCATTCTGCGGCACGCCTTGTTCTTTCATCTGCTGATACTTCTATACCATTGTTAGTATATGGAAAGCACAAGACAAGAAGGCAGGATAGGCCTCAACACAACACGAAACGTAAAGCACATTGACGGGGTCACGAACCGTATACATGTCCTGGATCTGTTTTTGGTTTATCTGCGCCGACATAGCCGACGAGCCAGGGTGGTGGACGGGAGGGGCCTGAACAGATGCCATATTGAACTAATTCGAGGGTAACTCGATATGGATCCTAACAAATTTTATTATTCTCCTAACCACTTTATGAGGCGTTCATATCTAAGGCACGGTTGCAGCGACGGTAGGGTATTATGCGAGGCTCCGAAGTTGACTAAATTCAACCGTATTAAAAGAGTGACTATAGTGAACGTTGGTTGGTGATGAAAAGTGGTGGTGAAACGACGATGTTGATTAACCAGCACGTCGCAGGCCTTAGCCCGAAACCAATGTGTGGTGTTGCGCCGAACAGGAATTGCCCGGAAGCAAAAAATGGGTTGGGAATGACGGAGGACGTTAGGGTGCGCGAAGATTCCGGTCGCGGCGCGCGGTGTCGTCTACCGGAATGCCAAAAGAAAACGCGGTGGGGATCAGCAGTAAAGTAGGGGATTCTACCTTTTTGGCCTTCGCGGTCGCGCGGGGGGAAACGTGAGTCGAAAAGGACAACGGCCAACGGGGTACAAAGGCAGGTGGTTGGCTGGGAGCGCGTAAAAAGACAGTAGAGGGGGGCTGTTTTCGGCAAGAAAATCGCGTAAAATAAAAATTGGAGGTCACTCCGGATACTTGTCGATGAATTTAGACGGGGATGGGTGATGCGGCTCGCTTTTTTTGATGCGCGATTGATGGCGTGGAAAGAGATGGTTTGATGAAAGGCGCACAACCGCACAAACAAGTCCATCTCCCTTTTGCCTGTCACCTGAGGGAAAAATGCACTAGTGACTCCAGCCCAGAAACTAACCAATCGGTCTAATGATAGCCCGTCTAACCCCTGCAAATTCTTACTAACAAAGTGGTCAGTGCACAGCGCTTAAAGCATTCTCATTGGATTAAATATTTTTTGGTACTACTTAGAGGTACCTATGTAATGTACATGATTAGGTACCTAAGGTATGTATCTAGATCAGTGTACTGTTAATACATTCAGTAACTAGATGCTTAATAAACGAAGCATGACAAGGCCAAGAGTTGCTCTATTTGTCGGGTTTGTCCATTCCAATCAGGTAGTTTGTACTCTTGGTATCATGCCGTGAACCCCTAGGTTTTGTAGACAATAAATAACTTTCCTTCCTAAAGTCGGGCATAGCGTAGGTAGTTATCCTATATCTAATAATGCAGTTACTAAGAGCCTCTTTTGTTTCCGGTTACTGATTGGATAGTCTGGCCTGTCGATCTATGGGCCTACCTTTCATAAGTTTCCCGTATGGAACGCCAGGGATCCTACCCAGTCCTGCGGATAAGCTTCGTGAAATTTATGAAGGCGACCTGGGTGGTTTCGGATAAACAGCCCTGAAAAGGAGCTATCTTTTAGAAGCCGAACCTTTAAAGAGCCTTGGCACATTATACTGTTAAGTGGGTATCCTATCATCTCTTGACCTTCTTCTTCTCTGGGCCGTCTTCTTCTTCGTCGCTCACGTCGGCGTATTGTGTCACCGGCTGTGTGCTTTTCCAGGCCTTCGTAAATACGGGATCCTTTTTCGCCAGGTCTGCGTACTTGAGAAGCGCTTCTCTAGGATCCTCGTGCAACATGCGACTTAATGGAATATTCTCGGAAATATGCTTTTCGTCAGGTTGACTCCGCATAAATGGTGTTTGCTGAGGGACGTGTGGTCTCCTGGGATCCTTCGACTTTCCGGATGCCGTAATACCCGTTTTCTTGGTGCCCGGCAGAGTGCCAGGGGTAACGATTGCATCCCCGGAGAGTCCAAGGGATTGGTCAGTAGTAAACTCAGGATTGTCATCTATATGTCGTCTCTTCGGCGCGCGTGACATGACATCTACCGCACCCCGTGTTGACATCGTAGGGTTGTATAAGATATGCGTTTCTGCGTTTGCAGAGCCAGTGACGATCTGGTTAATCTTTGGATGCCAATCTACAGTGATTACAGGCGACCCAGGCGTGACCAGTGTAGTGTATTCAGGGCGCAGATTCCCCGGGTTCAGTATGTGAAGATGGCCCGTTGCCGATCCAGTAATAATACTAGTAGAGTTCGGCGCATATTTAATATTGGTAGTCGGGTAGTGATCCGATGTAGATGGGTGTTCAACTGTGACAAGAGGCTCTTTGAACTTCCGCGTATCCCACAATTTGATTAGGTTGTCGCCGCCTCTTGTGACCACCATTCGCCCGTCAGAACTGATATCTATCCCTCCGGTCCAGGTATTCGGTTTATGAGCTTCTCTGATCTCACCAGCGGGTCGTGTGAACGGGCCGTTTCCACTCCACATCACAAGTGTACCATCTAGAGCTGCAGAAATAAGGACGTTATTGCCTCCCTGGGTTGGACTGCCCCAAGCGACGGCAGTCATTCGTGTCCTACCTGCAGCACCCGCAGCTTTTGACTTGAACACTATTACTTCCTTTTGGCTGCGCTTATTGTTGATATCCCATATACGCAACGTACTATCCGTCCCAGCCGTGACACAGAGATTTTTGTCCGTAGGATGCCACGTACCTGTTGTGACCTCAGAAACGTGACCCTTGGTATTGTTCATATCTCGAAGGTACATATCGCCTTTGACAAACTCAGTGACGATGTCTCCATCTCGGGACAGAATTTTGGCTTGGGGATGTGCTGATATGCAGAGGAAGAGACTTCCAGCGAGAGGATTGAACTCGACATGATGTATGGGGTGCGACTCTGTGTTTGCAGATGATGGTTTAGTTTCGTAAGGATCAACACTTCTGAAAGCACGAATTGTGGTCGGTGTTAAGGAGGAAAGATCGTGGAGCTTGACAGTGCAATCGATGGATCCTGATATCAGCCGGCCGCCCGCCGGATCTAGCGAAAGCGAGGTAACAGCACGATCATGTGTCTTAATGACCATCTCGTGGGAAGTCGGATACTCGTCCTCATCATCTGAAGAGTCGTCTGAGTCGTTCTCGCTGTCGCTTGTGTCGTTTGAGTCTGATTCCTGAGACTTAGGTTTACGTACCGTCGGCTCGTCGACGGTTCTCTTGCTTCGGTCGATTTGCGCGGCGATGTTAGCCTCCCGATGTTGTTTCCCAAATGAAGTGGGCAAGAATGCGCGCATGGGATCATCGTCGGCTATGGATGGCCCTTCGACCTGGATATCTTCGTCGTCGCTCATTATAGTCTAAGATTTAGGTTGACCGTTGAGATGGTGGATTTGATTATTGTAGAGTGGAAATAAGTTGGAGGGTCACAAGGCTGACGGGTACCTGACCTAAGACAGAAAGTGACCTAAGACAGAAAGTGACCTAAGACAGAAAGCTATCTGTAGGTAGATATACGAAGCTAGTTGACCGTTGACCTTACATAAGGTGAGCTTGAGCTAATGGGGGTGGAGACGTTTTATGCGCCTAACTGGCTGCATGATGACGAAAATCTCATGCTTGTAACTTGCAATATAATTCTAGGTCTATGGGTACATACGGATTACCGTACTTGGGTAATATCAAAATCGCAATGACCTCCATCCCCGTTGCGTTTAAATGTACTTGCCCAATTCGCATCAATGTACGAAGTAGCTAGACATTTTTTGTAGACGCTAGCTTCAATCTATCTATCTATTCTTTTTAGTCATCTATTTAAGAAGAGTCCAACCAATACTTTACTACATTTCCTATATTTACTAAACCAATCGCCGTTACATCTCAATACTACTTGTCTTCCTAGTTGGTAGACTTGTAGAGGGGGCGTGCAAGAACCCCAACTACGCCGATCCATGAGCATTTCTCCATTACTTACCTACTTACCTACTTACCTACTTACCTACTTACCTATCATCTAATAAACTCCCTTTTTCTGACGTGAGGTGCTACTTGAAAACCCGCTTCAGGTTCAGCCCGATGAACCCTTTCGCAGTCGGTATTCACGGAAACTCCGGTAATAACCTGGCGCAATTTAATTGCTGCCAATCGAGGACCACCACCTTCTATCCGGTAACCCTCTACGACCTAGGATCCTACGATATTGCTACCTCAGTCTCGCCCGCTGTGGCCCTCCCAAACACGAATATCGAGCTTGTCGACCGGAAGAACCAATATCAGTATGGGTTCGGCCGTAGACGACGCGACGAATGATCATAAGGATGGGTCTAATCTGGGTGAATGGAGCTCGCTCATTGGCATTATAACGGCAATATCAGGCAATGTCTTAATCGCTCTAGCGCTCAATGTCCAGAGGTATTCGCACATTCAACTCCACCGTCGAAAAGTCGAGGCACGGGAACGAGCGAGGGAGGCTCTAAGGAAGGCAAGGAACGGACATCATAATGGCTACGGAACAACTGAAACATCTGTCGCCGACTCACAGAACAATAGCGACGAAGCAGCCGACACGGAAGGTGTTCATCTGCTTTCCCAGTCGATACAGTCGGACGATTCTAACTTGACCGAACGGTCATGCGACGACTCCAAGGTTTCTTCAACATACTTGAAGTCTCCATCCTGGTGGGCAGGTCAGGTCCTCATGACTGTTGGCGAGATGGGCAACTTTCTAGCCTATGGATTTGCGCCGGCTTCGATCGTATCTCCGCTAGGCGTCGTAGCCCTAATATCAAACTGCGTCATCGCGCCTATATTCTTCGGCGAGAGGTTCCGGAAGCGCGACTTCTGGGGTGTAGTAATCGCTGTTGGCGGTGCTGTTACGGTCGTGTTAAGCGCCAAGCAAGAGGAGACAAAGTTGGATCCGCACGATGTTTGGGATGCAATCACGACGATGGAATTCGAGATTTATATGGGCATCTCTATTTTTCTTATTATAATGCTGATGTGGGCGAGTCCAAGATATGGTAGCAAGTCAATCCTGATTGACCTGGGACTTGTTGGATTATTCGGTAAGTTTCGTATGATTTTTCTATAGAAGCTCGGTGCTAATCAAAAGTCAAAAAAGGGGGATATACCGCTCTGACAACCAAGGGCGTCTCTTCGATGCTTTCGTCAACCCTCTTTAAAGCGTTTACTACCCCAGTGACATACGGCCTCGTAATGATTCTGCTGGGGACCGCAGTCATGCAAGTCCGATACGTGAATAAGGCACTACAACGGTTCGATTCGACTCAGGTTATACCTATACAGTTTGTACTGTTTACTTTATCTGTAATTATTGGAAGTGCCATTCTGTATCGAGACTTCGAGCGCACGACGGCACAGCAGGGCGTCAAATTCATTGGTGGCTGTCTTCTCACCTTCTTCGGTGTCTTCCTCATTACAAGCGGCCGGCCGCGACAGGAAGATACGGATGAGCTATCGGACGACGAAAATGTGGAAGAGACTATTGGTCTCCGAGACCAAGAAGCGTCCGGGTCTTACAATAACCGAGCTGAGCAGCCTAGAGCAGACGAACAACAACCAACTTCTTCGTCGCTATCGAGGCGTCCGTCGCACGTCTCACGAGTCAGTTACCCAAATGCAGGTACCAAATCTTTACCTCGCCCACAAAGCAAAGCCCCTTCAATCAACAAACCCAACGCGTCAGCTTCAAGAACATCCCTTCTCCCAACCCCAGCCGAGGCATCGCCATTGCTTGATAATCCATGGAGAAACTCCCTTGAGGATCAATCGTTCCATCCAGGACTACCACTTAGATCGTCAGCGGATAGCGTCCCAACGGTATATTCGGTGGCTTCCGCCGCTATATCGGAACCCCTTCAATCGACCGCAAGTCTTTCGCAGCCGGTTCTTCCATCATCATCTCCAGATCGGCCAACAACTCCACGGGCTTCTCAAACTTCCAGGCCACACAGTCATCACTTTTCCAATGCCTTCATTTCTCCATCGCCGCTGTCATCAACTGTCAGCGCCGTGGTAGCTGATGCTCTTCTACGTGGTGAAGAGAACCCAAGTGGCCGAAGAAGGCCAACTCGACGAACAAGGCCTGGCGTTAGATCGAGCTTATTCGTCCCCCATAGTGAGGACGATATCAGTTCGGTAGCCGAACCTCTTCTTCAAGGTTATCGCGACGACGAGGAACTTTCCTACCAGGACGACCCCTTGCCAAGCGACCACAAAGCAATTCGAGGACGAGCGCGCAGCCTGAGTAGTACATTAGGAGAGTTCTTCAGACGGAAGAAGCGGAGAAGGGTTTCGGATCCGGAATCGGGTACAGACTACGAGAGTGCGCATAGCGATACTTCGAGAGTCGACCAATCGAGCAACAACTAGGGCAGGCGTTGGTCTATTTACAAAACTGCATTCATATTAATACATCCCCAGGCGTGCTAAAGTGTCAATTCTTTTATGGGTGAGACGGAGCGGGGTTGCATTGGATAGGAGTTTGGTGTTTTCTCAACGGTATCGTCGCTAGAGGCGCGCGGCTCTGTCCATACCCAGCTCGTATAGGGCTACTCTACTTTTGAAGCCCGCATAGATCTTTATTGAAAATTATAATTGAGATATCCCTTTTGTTTAGATATTAGTCTATCGTATTTGGTTGATTTATTATTATATGCATATATTTTCTTACTATAGTCTAACCAGAGCACTTACGCAATTAGTATCAGATCATTGGGATGTTTATCTTAACATTTTAGATATCTACCTCCCAGAATAATTTTAGCGACCACATTTCTATCGAAAGATCATCATGATGTGCTGCTATACTAATATCTCCATGTCCCCACAGCACTACTGTTATTATGCGTAATAGGGGACTGCGTCAATATTATGTAGCCTTAAGCTGCGAATAATAAAACCCCTAATAGTCTAGCTTGTGCTCATACGACCAGATATGGCCATATAATGCGATGAAAGATCGACTCTGTCTTCTTGATTTAAAAACCAATTATCTCGGTGATTCCCCCCCCCAATATCGAGAGTGCCTCGTAGAACTAGGGCCTAAGGGGAGGCGGTACAGCTAAGATGACCAAGTTCGTGAAGACGTATAGTCTACCATCTATGCCTCATGCATTGATATATCAGCATTCAAGCCAGCAAAGTTAGTCCTATAGATATCATTTCATCCCCCAACCGCAACTCCACCATCAGCATCCAGCATGAACCCTGGGCTCCAATACTCCCACTCAGGAGCTTGCTTATCAACCCAGAGCATGCCCTCGCCCAGGAGATCATCCACCGCCGTCTGCGCGCGCGCCCTCGCCCAGCGCAGATTAACCATGAGCATCGAAACGCTCACATACCCGAGCACCTGCGCGGCCTCGAGCACGGCGCTCTGGTCCGTGTTCAGCTCCTTGGGCACCGAGCGGATATACGGCTTGCTGCCGACGCGCACGACGGAGTAGCTCGAGCCAAGCGGCTTCAGGGTGCCCACGGCGCGGAGCACATCGTCGTCGGCGATTTCGGGCGCGCCCTCCATGCGCCCGCGGGACAACCGCTCCCGCAGCTCGCGCACGCCGATCAGCCCGCCGTTCTCGCCGCGCGTAGCCCCGCACACCTCGACCACGCGCACCGCGAGCTCGAAGTAGAAATCGTTGACGCTGCGCCCTAGGAGCTGCGCCCACAGGCTGGACGGCCCGGTGGTGCTGCTGCTGCCGTGCGAAGACGAGGCCAGCGGGTCCACGCCGATGGCGGCGCACATGCGCGCGAATTGCGCCCGGAAAGACGGGTCCGACCGGATGTCCTTGGCGTGGGTCTGGGCGAACTGTTGCAGGAGGGAACGGAAGACGGAGAGCTGCGTTTCGAGAGCCTGCGCGTCGTGCGATCGTAAGGAGTTCCCGTGGGAGGCGAATTGTGCTGATGTTAGGCGGGAGCGGTCGAAGGCGGCGAGGCCGACGCCTTTGCGGGACATGGTTGTAGATTATTCTTTTCTATATGCCCCTGTTCTAACTCCTCTGTTGGTCACTCACTATGTAGGTTGAGGTACAGACTTCTAGTCGAGCACGTGAACGGGTTTTATGCTCGTATTACTATGTAAGGAACAAGTAGATATTTTGTAGGGTGAAGGAGGGTTGTATGGCTACGTAACAGAGAATACAATTTGGTTCTACGGATCGAGGGTTAACGACGGTATTATTCATTAGACAAGTTAGGTCTTGTTAAGGTGTAGGTTGGTGAAGTTGGAAATATGTAAGTACCGAGGGGCGTTCGGATGACTTATAGGAGGTACGTACCTATGTATCTAAGTATCTAACATTGAATGCTTACATAACAATGCCCCACCGGAAATTCTTCGGTCCTCTACTTCACCTTGGAGGCTCACCTTCAACCAAAAACGGCTCTAGCGCATTTTCAGGGCACAAACCCTTTTTCGACATTTCGGCAAAAGAGACGCGAAAATTGTTCCTCCCCCATCACCAAATCGATTGACCCTCCTCGTTGAAGCCTAGGCATTTTCGGTTGCGAATACCTTCAACACCCACCACCACATCCAGACAAATCCGCAACCATGTCTACCCAAAGCGTCCAGTGCTTCGGCAAGAAGAAGACGGCTACTGCTGTCGCCCACTGCAAGGTTCGTTTTTTTATATGTTTTTGGTCCATTACAAGAAGAAGTGGGATGGGATAAGGCTATCAATGTCGCCGTCGCCAATGGATGAAAGATACGAAGATCTATTTGAATGGACTAGATGTACTAACGAGATTTTTTAATTGCAGGCCGGTAAAGGTCTCATCAAGGTCAACGGCCGACCGCTCTCTCTGGTCCAGCCTGAGGTTCTCCGATTCAAGGTACGAAACGAATCTTTCTCGAACGCGATACCCCATACGCATACCCAATTTCTCTATCATCGAATCTAGTCATCGATCCTATTATTCAAAGAACAATTAAGCTTTGAAACCCTTGTCCCAAAAATTCAACCGAAATCCGGGGGATGAGATATAACAAGAAAAAGGAAAAAAACTAACACAAATCCAGGTCTACGAGCCTCTCCTAATCATCGGCCTCGACAAGTTCGCCCAGGTCGACATCCGCGTCCGCGTTACCGGTGGTGGCCACACCTCGCAGGTCTACGCCGTCCGCCAGGCCATCTCTAAGGCTCTCATCGCCTACTACCAGAAGTTCGTCGACGAGCACAGCAAGAACCTGCTCAAGCAGGCCCTCGTCCAGTACGACCGAACCCTCCTCGTCGCCGACAACCGTCGGTGCGAGCCCAAGAAGTTCGGTGGTCCCGGTGCCCGTGCCAGATACCAAAAGTCCTACCGTTAAACGAATCCTCGACGGTATACCCGCGGGGGTTGGGGATGTTATGGTGGGTTGGAGAAGAAAAGGAAAGGACGAAGCCGCTGGGATCGTTTTGTGGAAAGAAAGACAGCGGCCGCTCGGGTCTTCTTCTCCTTTTTTTGCGCGCGCAACGAATTGGGACGGCTATGGTCGGTGGTCGTACCTCTGGAGTCTTAAGAAAAAGGGAATCCTTTGCGAGGGCTATCTCTACTACTGATGCCTTCTTCTCTCTATTATCGATGCATTTGCATGGCCTGGCTGTAAAGGGATTAGGCGAATGAAACGACAACATTTTCTGCAAACAAAAAAAGTAAAACCGTGCTGGCCCGGGACTTCTTCAACTTAATGATTTAATGCGAGATGACCAGGTGAACTAATTGTCGATCCAAGTTTTTGTAACACTCTGGTGAGATACGCCCTTAAGTGTAGTATCTTAATCCACCTAGCTCTATTTAGCAGGGGAAACAAGCTGCTTTACGTTTCAACCATTATGCCTATAATCAAAGGCGTATGTATAAAAAGTACTACTTTGCCACGGAGGGTAGGATTCATCAGCACTTCGTAGTCTACGGCACCATATATATCATGCTGTCGTAGTATATCCAACGTACTAATAGGAACTTCCTTTTCTATTACCTAGTTCCTATACGATTACAGGTAGTAATGCAGAAAGCAGTACAAGACTATTCGTGAGCGTATTAGAAGATATACATCACGACGCAACACAGCCAACACGCCAAATTTTACGCCCATGCCTCCGCCCACGTCCAGACCGAGTCCGTTGTTCATCCTACGTATCCCACGACAAGAGCCCGGCCTCCTTACCGCCGCCGTCCAACTGCACCACCACAGGCGCAAACTCACCCCTCTCGTCCTCGTCCTCGAAATCCGACATCTCCGCGCTCACCATCTCGCCATCCTCCAACATCAGCGAGCCCGCGCGCAAATACTCCGCTCTCAGGTCCCAGCCCAGCCGACTATTCAGCCAGGCCTCCAGATCCGAAAACGCGTCTCGGACTAGATGTTGGTCGGGCGTGACGTCGTCGCCTAGGGCTTCGAATAGCTCGTCCAGCCGAGACGCGTACGTGGTTAGCGAGCGCTGGAGCTTGCGCGCGTTCGAGGGCATCATTTCTAGCACGTCGCCCTCGAGGTGTCGGTCGTTGTACACGAGCTGTGCGTGGAACGTCTGTATCAGACGCCGCGCGAGCTGGGGTTGCGCGGTGGCGAGGGTGTAGCACCGGAAGATAAGGTGCGTGGTGTAAAACCACCATTGCTCCAGGCACGAGTAGTTGCCGAGGTGCATGCCGGACAGGAAGGCGAACGAGAGCTCGCCTGCGAGGTCTTCGAGTTTTCGGTTCTCTAATGTCTCGAGTACAAAGGGAGTTGGGTCGAGGGCTTGACGTGTGCGCTCCTGACCGGACGCCTTGGGACTGATGAGAGGCGCGTTCATGGGGAATGTGAAGCGGAGCTGGGATTTGCCGCTGGCGTAGAGGCGGGCTTCCTCGGCCAAGGTGGTCTCTCCGGCGACGCTGTCTTGCGTAGTGATCTGCCAGCTTCGTTGGGTCTTGCCTGTAATTCTGTTCAAGAGATCCGCGTTGATGGCCGACGTAAGCTGGGACCATATGTTCTCGTTGTTTAAAAAGGATGAAAGGTGTTCAGTGTCTCGACTAGGCGGTGCGAGGATCACTCCAGACGTAGTAGCCCGGAGTTGATAAGACGAGAGGCTGCTAAAAATCTGCTGCAGCGCCTCCTTTTGAAATCTATCTTCGGCTTGGCTGGCAGGATCGCTGAGGACTTCGTTGAATTTGTCCCACTGCTTGACGTAGACCTCGCCGTGCTCCCATTCCTGTCTCTTGGGAGTGACAATCCAATATGCGCTCCGCGACGACGTCAGCTCGGAGGGAGCAACCCATATAAGATGCGCACCCGCCGGGATATCGCGAAAGCCCGGAAAGGGTTTCTTCGTCGAGAAAGACATCGTGTCGCAGCCTATAGTAAAGCCTGCGGGGAGATCATCTAGAATGAGGACATCGCCACCCGTAGGGAACGTATGTCCGGAGTCTAAGGGTGGCTCCATGACGACGTCAGGAGTAGTAAGTGGCGTATCCAGATCCGAGTTCTCTCTAGGTCCGGTAATTCGAAGAGATCCCAGGGGCAAAGTGCCGATGGAAGGAAGAGACTCGACGGATTTAGATTGTTTCACGGAGCGCAGACCTATCGGGTTCGAAGCTGATTTGGAAGTTGAAGTTGGATGGAAATCGACCGTCTCTCCACAATTACCCGGCATTGACGTGACCTTTGGTGGGTCTAAACCCGGGATGGAAGAGACTGACGGGACTTCCGCTGCCGGCATTATCAGTGATCTAATATGAATCTGGTATGATACCTATTCCGCGATATTGGAAAATACCCGAATATATGTTGTTGAGCCGAATAGTGTTGATACCTATGTATGTGGTAAACCCAGAATTCAGCCACCAAGTCATTAACTAAACAGATTAACTCTGAATAAGACCGTCCAAAGGACAAAACACTTAAGGAGCGTTCCTAACATTTTTCTTTTTCTTTTTTTTGAAGATGGAAATGGCGGGAATTTTCTAGGGGTAAGGAAAGGGAGATACTCAGGGTCCTTCCTTAAGCAGAATGACGTTGATAGGTAGGACCGAGGGAGGCACGAGAGAGATTATAATACATAACTTATGTATTGTACAATAAACAAATCTCGTATACTAAGCTAACTACGTCATACGCCTCGATTTTGTCGCATATCAATAACGCCTAGGATAACCGCCTCATTAGACGTCACTATCGCGAGAGAATATACCGGCATTGATGGGTACCTAGGCAATTTCCCTTTTTTTTTCCCTTCAAACTTTCGGTTAGATATGCCGAACGATCGCCATTCTTGGCCTCTGAAAAGTGATAAACATGATATTGTGCTTGTGTTAAAAGATGACGATCGGGACTTATCCATAGAGCTATTGGAGATTTGGTAGATATCTCATCTCTATTGATTGTACGCATGAAAGGTATTATCGTGATCGGTGCTACACTATGAGGGTTTATTATTATTATTTAGGACACATCAGTGATGACTGACGCCACTTGCAACCAATAAGGTAGCCCGGAGCACTTTTGCTCATATCAACCCAATAGAGCCGCATGGCTGTGGTTTAATACATAGGCATAAAAAACTTAACCTCAAGATAGTTGCTGGATATTTAGAAATGTGGGCAGTTATGAGAGGTGTATAAGACTTATAAGTCCGCCTAGTTATCCATTTGTATAACAAGACATATGTAGAACTTGTGTAGGTAAATGCAAGGAACAAGGCTAGTAACCGTCTTAAAAGGCGACTTATACGCACATAATATACTAGTATCTCCCATCCTCGAAAGGGAAACACTAAAGCTAGGTAGGGAAGCAAGCCGTTAAAACAACTACCTGCCCTGCCCGTCTTAGCTTGGAACGAACGCTAAAATAGAGACGGAATAAAAAAAAGAATAACTATACATACCTATGTATGAATAAAATAAACCAGGCCCGGTCCGTTTTCCCATGCCGCTCGTCACCACGCTATCTAGGGTTACATCGAGCGAGCTTAAAAGACCCCCCATCGCCTCGGCCCGCATACATACATATATAGGTTAGTCAATAATAATAATAGTAATAATAAAAATAATAAAAGGTCAACCTAGAAACACATCAGCCCCTTATGGTATTAGCGGCCCGCCGCGTCGGGTCTACCTGGGGGGGAAGGGGGAAGGGGTCCAGTCGGGCGAGGATCGTGAAGAAAAAAAAAGGTATGGTTTAAGTATGTATGGTTCATGTATGTATATGTAGAAGTTTGGTTCCAGCCGGGGGCGTGAGCGCGTGCCATTAATGCCAGCGACCGCCCGCATCGCGCTAGAACCCTTGTCTAGTTCGACCGCAGTCTTCCACACCAACACCAAAAACCTCCTTCATGCCAGTCCGTCTACACTATTATAGTAGAATCTACCTACCTAACTTAACTAGAGTCCCCTATTTACCTCGTATTTTTATTTTTATTTTTTTCTAGTTTTTAAGATCTTCCCCAGGGCCCCTACCTAACGTATGTAGGTAGTATACACGCTTGCAACGTCGCTATACTAGTGTACATAAGGCCGGTCCCGGCAGACGGGGAAGAATACACCAGGGCTAGCTACCTAACCTAGACATGGGTTTCAAAGTTCGGTTCGCTTATGCTCTGTCTGTCTGTCTGTCACGTATCTGTCCCGTCGCTAGTGCTAAGTTTGGCCGCATGAATGGGCGCCCTCCTAGTGTATGTATGTATTGTACGGCCCCCAGACTATATATACACGCCTTAGTACCGGTACCGTACCCAGACGAATATTTAAATAGAACGAAGCTTGCGGACCTACATAAGTTCAGACGAGTTCCAAAGATCCAGTCTCGCCTGAACCACAGCCTGGGGAAGCCTTATGGCCCACAAATCGCTTGAGCCCTCCCTCGAGAACTCTTCTAGAAAGAGTCTAAAACAACATCACCTGTTTCAGTCGTATAATGCCATCTAATCTATATTAGGTCATACCGCTTCCCCAGATTCTGTGTGCTTCCCAATAAAGAATATTGTTCCATCTTATTAGACCCGCGAATACGTTAGGTAGTCAGCTGGCTAGCTACTTACTTATAAGCTATACGGTAGTATGTACACCGGATATCAGTAGCGTCATGGCTAATAACGGTAAGTTGGGTGTCACGAGAAGGAAGTACCTAACATGAACAGGACTTCCAATGTAACAATGGTCCGGTGGGATCGGCTGTGCGTCTAGCTTGGACGAAATATAACGGCTTGTGCAACCACACCAAAATAAATTCCGACCTACCTGCCTACTACCACCTCACTAGCAGCCTTAGGAAGCCTCCTCGTCTACAATATACTAAACCACATGGATGCCTCGTGGCCATGGTGCCACAGGGAAACTAAGGTACCCTAAAATTATAGTGCGTCTTTTTATAACTCGCCCGCCTTCTACTTTACGCATTGACAGGTACGGATACAGACGACATATATAAATTGTAACGGTTATGGTAACAGTCTCTGGGCCCTCGCAAAATTCACAAATACAAAACGGCACCAGATAGCCTTCGCAAACACAACGTTATTATTATCCGTGTATCTAAGAGATCATCTTGGCCTCCCCGCGGTCTCATAGGGGTACTAACTCTAAGAGCACGCGAGACCCAAGTATATTCCTCCGCGAGGAACACTGGTTCTGCGCTGCAAGTACACGCCCGGCGAAATATGTAATAGAAGAGAAGGCATGTCGGGAACCTGAGCCGTGGGGAGCAGTTCTTCACCTTATAAGCCGACTATTAAAACAAAGCCGCACCATGACACAAATATGTCTTGGTTCTTGAGCCTAGAAGCTCTAATCATTTGTTTCGTAACCCGCCTACCCAGACACCTAACCCAATGCAAGGCTCGTCTCCCCGCCCTCCCCCGTCCGAGGCCCCGATGCTGTTATGCGAGAAATCAAGATTGGTCATCAGAATGCATTTGCTGCGAATCGTCCACTCCGATTCGAGCAAGTAATACTCCCAAGGCAATGCTGTCGTAGAAATGACCAGAAGTACCCCATCTCTACCGTCCTATCGAATCAGAAGGTGTATGTTTTTGTTGCGGGGGGGTCACTGCATATCGTACACCGGGCAGAAGGAGTTGGTTTTATAAGCTTTTTTGTAATCTCATTCTTTAGTAAAAGGGAAAAGAAGAAATCAAGTTATTCCGGCAATGACGACTCTGGATGTTAAGCAGCTACCTACTAGCAGCCGGTGCCCCCGAGCAGCATTGACGAAATCCTTCATCTTCATTCACGTTGGCTGTACATGTTCTGATTCTGCGGTCCGTAAGGTGACGCCGGTTGTTGGTAGCCAGAATACATGTGGCTTGTGGGACTGTATTCGGGGAGCGGTTGCTGCGGTACAGCTGTCGATGGAGGCGCAGGGTACTGGGTTGTCTGGTATCCAATAGGTGGGAGCTGAACTTGTCGATTAGCCGTATATGATGTTTGCGCTTGGCTTGAATCGCCCGCTTGCGGGTCAGCACCTCCGTTCTGAGCCTGGGCGGCAGCGACATGACGCTGACGTTCTGCCTCCTCAGCGGCCTTCCGAGCCTGTTCTTCCTCCTTCTTACGAGCCTTCCACTCCTTTCGGATCTCCTTGAATTCTGTGCAATTGGTATAGTTAGCACATCTGATCTATTTGGGTTCACCCTAAGGACCATTATTGGGGCTTCGTCTAGAACAAACTAGGTTAGAGGCCTAGCCAATTCCTAGCACGGTAGCGGCCCATTCCCCCACAGCTGACTAGTGAAGAGCAGATAGTATACTTCTAAAGGACTTCAAAGCAAAGCTTAATGCCCCTCTTTGAGAACTTACGTCGCGCTATGAAAAGAGCGCAGAAAGATAGAAAATATAAAATGGGTTTAATGGGTGATCATACCTTCAGGTGTCCGTTTTTGGCCATGACTCTGCATCGTAACGTGTGCGTTTAGATGATTAAGCGTACCATAAGCCTTCTCGCAGTTGTTCCAGCCACACTTATACATTCGCTCAATTTCTTCATATCGTCGTCGTGGTCGCTTGTGTTGCTGCGCTCCAGGGATAGGTACAAAGGAATAGACCTGCTGTCCACCATACTGTCAATGAAATCAGTTACCTCACATTATTATTATAGATTGGAAAAAGCAGCCAGCGTCCACGCGTCATAATTAGTACATTCCAAACAGATCGCAGAGACAAACCTGTGATCTACACGATCTGCCATATCCCGAGGTGCAGTTTCTTCGCTACGACTAGCGCGAACTTGCTAACCCTTAACGTCACTAAAAGAAAGGGAGGAAAAATCACCTACCTGAGCTGGTCGTCCAGGAGCATTCGTCGTTGGCGTATGAGGGTATACCGAGTGCGGGTGTGGCATCTGCCCCGGTGCTGGATGCCCATAGTTCGCCCAATCGGGCCGTGGCTGCGCGTACAGGTTGCCGGCGCCCTGGGGATAGTTATGCGACATATCTTGCGGCGGCGGCGCGTAGGGCGAGTATTGGCTAGGGGGCGCGTAGGTAGGGCTAGGTGCGGCGATGGACGGATCTATGGGTACATCGCTGTCAGATTTAACCTGCTGGGACTGATGGTTGCGTCCATCTTGCATAGGCATGGACGGACTTGTTGGTGTTTGCGCCATACCTCCGCTGCTGCCACTATGGTTGCTCGCTGGATGGTATTGACGAAGACTATGCTCTGGAAAACTAGTCGACCTCGCAGACTGCGGGTACGCTCCGAACTCTGAATTCGGAGTCGCAGACGTAGGATAACTGGCCCCCCGCGCTTCCTGGTTGCTGGAATAGTGGGCAGCAGACGCGTGATCTGCAGAGGAAGCTTCAGATTGAGTGTCGCCGTAGGTACTTGGATAGGGCGAAGGCAAACCTGACTGCGAATATTCGGGGACGCTCCGTTCCATGAAGTAATCGGCGGCGGCGAAGTAGGTTCTGAGGGCGGCACCCGAGTTCTGGTTCCCAAGCTTGCGCTCGAGGATACGCGGTAGAGATAACGATGCGCTGTTGTCAACAAAAGTCTAAGACCTTGTGCTGGCACCAAAAACACCACTACTGCTGAGTAAGATTGGACAGTGAATGAGCCGGGGGCTTTTAGTCCTCGAACCAATTTTGAACTTCCGCAGGGTAGGAGAAAACGGGTTTCTTAGGTCGAGGTGGTGCTTGTTAAGAAACGAGAAGGATAGTGTTGCACCAAGGAGGACAAGCTGCGGCTGTACTGGCGTATTTGTTGGCGACTAGTATGGTCATCAACGGGGGGGACTGATCCAAGAGGAGATAGCGTAGATCTTCCAGTCTTGCCCGAGTCTACATATAGACAAAATAGTCTCTCGAGCAAGGTCCACCAACCCACAAGTTGAGATCAGCCACCAAGTTGTGCTGGAGTAGTCAATGGCTAGGTAAAACGGAGCAGAGCTATGTATGAACTAAAAAACCGTGCTCTCCGCCTCAGATGGGGGGCTCGAGAAGTTGGGGGCCAGTGTGCTTTTGAGTTCTTCTTTTAGATCGCGGGCGCCAACAAGTAGTGTGTATTGCACGACAGATTGTCTGCACCCGCCAACCGTTCGCAGTAGCAGTTAGAGACTGGGCGGGCTTATGAGGGCGGGAATTGTCAAGTACTGCGCACGATCTGATGCAGGGTGCGATCTGGTTTCCCTTGAGAAGTGACCCCCTTGTACTGCGTTATGAACGCGTGCGGCGGACCTAGTGGCTTATGGGGTCTGATGGCCAAATTCGCAGTGGAGTGGGAAGATACTTCACTAAAATAGTGTGAAGTAAAATGGAGGAGGGAGTGCTAGAAAACTCGAGCGATCCCCGAAGTTGTCTAGACTGCGAGACTTAGCGTCTTGTCAGAACTACCAAGGGTTTCGATTGGTAGCAGGGGGGCTCAAGGTGAGTTTGGGCCGGCGTGATGCTAGAGTGATGCTAGACCAATGCTAAAAATTTCGGAATGTCGAATTATAGAGCCGCTAGAAGATCCCAGGCCCGACTAGACTGACTCTTATTACTCTTTCCTTACGTCGAGCTGGGACGCGAACGATGTCTTGTATTGGGGTTGTATGAATTATATGTGTGTGGGAACGCAGATAGAATCCATGTAAAAAGGGCTGAGAAGAAGAGTGTGGGTGTGCGTATATGTACGTTTCCCCCTGCACGCCTCTAGGCAAGGTGCGTACCAGGAAATTATTAATGACGGCTGCAGGAGCTGTATGTAATAGCAGCTGGCAGCTGGCAGCTGTAATAATAAGTATCAGGAGTAGTCGTAAAGGGACGTTAGGTAGTTACCACACACAATTGCCAGCCTAAGGCAGTGACGTGCAGTATGCTGGTTTAAATAGCGTAGGCTGGTAGGTAAGTGCAAGTGTAAGTATGTAAGTAGCAGCTATGTACCGTGGTGCTAGCTGATACTGATGACTTATTAGCGGGCGTTGCCTCGCCTGTCGCCTGTCGCCTGTCGCCAAAGAACCAGAAGAGTTGATTAGAGACACTAGTCACCGTCACGGCTTAGCAACCCTAGTGACGACAGAGTTTTGCGTGTTGGTGCGCCAAATCATAAACTTTAGCCTCTGACCCGACCGATTCGCGTCCAGGCGTCCAGACTCAAGCAAGTTTAGATTGGGCTTAGTGAGAATTAGTGCCGAGGGGATGGGAGATGGTGAATTTTTATATGCAGATAGATGCACGCTCGAGGCACGACGCTGCAGTGCTCCAAGAACACGCGTGGAGGGTTGATTGAACGTGCAACTTTGATTGCCGAACCAGAATAAAGGAATGCATGTACTGGTGAATGGCTGGTCTGGTTTGGTAATCTGTTAAAAGGTTGGGGAAGAATGGAAGATTCGGGGGGGGATTTTCTCAGTGTTCGATTTATTTGATTATTATTTTTATGTGTACATTCAGTCATGTACATTTGGAAGGACCGGGTTCGGTTAACCAATAGAATCATACAGTACTTTACCAACAGGGGGCAAACGACCAAAAACTGGGAGAATTTAGAGAAGGAGGGATGCGGAATACTAGGAATACATACATACCTACATACAATTTTGTACTACATACAGTAAGTTGGGTAACTAACTTACCTATGTATTTGTTTTCTTTTTTATCTTGCATTTGATTTCCTTTTCTTACCACGATTCCCCATGTCAAGCGTTTTCCTTCTTCTCCATCTCTTTATTATTATTTTTTTCTTCTCTCGAGACGTCTCAGGTAATTACAAGAATCTAAACTCACCACCAAACTTTATTTATCCTGCTTCGTACTTCGAGTCCATCCACATCGACCTCGAGTAAAAAGCCCACTACTTGTCAGAATAAACCCCTCGTTACTACATATTAGAGTACATGATGTATCTTTGCAGCTTGGTGGATTTCATTGCTCGGCATGATACTTGCCTAGAGCTGAATATTAACCTCTCTCTCCCTGCTTCGTAAGGCCCCTCTCTCGCCTCTCTTGCCTCTTCCGACCTGCGACCCGCAACACGCAACCGTCTGTTGTCTGTCCAAGTTTTATAATACAATTTGTCTTCCGCCCATGCGAAATCCACAAAGCCCAGAAACCCCATCAAAAACCTTAGCCGCGCAGCACAATACGTTTATAACATAGTACACGTGGTAAAAATGGCAAAATACATATATAAACAGTTCTCTGGGTACTTAGAATCTGAGGTGATAACATTCGATGTTCGTGATGTGGAAGTTCAGCTTAGAGGCGCAGTGTGGGGAGGCTAAAGCGGTGTAGGTATCTATAAAGTACTGTACGCCGCACCCAATGAACGTGTAGCAGGAGGCGGCGGAACCACCCACAAAAGACCCAGCATCCCTGATAAAGCCAGTCGCAGTGCCAATCCCTGGTCATCCTCATTAGTCAACAATATTTAATGACTGGGAGGAGAACCCAAGTACCATGGATGATGTATTTCTGCGTTTTATGCAGAGTGGATATCAATGAGGTTACTCTTAAGTAAGCGTAGGTACTGCGTAATTCCGTACTGTCAGAACAGCGTCAAAAAACATGCCCACTTTAATCTCTCAACTTTTAATACTTGTTTTAACTTAAATAACTTTATCAACTCTTATGATAACTGAATGAAACTTATATGAAATAATATTTAATCAATTCGGTTTAATATAAGAATTTTTAAGAATTCTTTTCTTTTGATTTGGTTGAAGAATTGTATTGTCAAACGTGTGTGTATATTATTTTGCTTGGGTGGGGATGGGTCATCTATTTTGACGCTGTTCTGACTGTATGTATTATGTAGTTAGGTACCTTTAAACTACATAAGCAAGGTGAGGAGGGATCCATCGGCTTGTTCCTGCTTAGGCTGCAGATTTTACTAGGACGGGCTAGACTTTACCTAGGCTCACCAGGTTTTCATCGAAGGAAAAAAAAAATATCCACATCAGCCATGTATGTATCAATCTCAACTGTGGTAATCCTTGAGTTTACAAAGTGCCAAGGTCCAGGAGTCGATGCGAACACGCATGCTAAGATACATAATATGCAATCGGATCGAATAATAGGACGTTATTCCGCTCTGTTGCTCTATCAAAGACTCCAGTAATAGTCATGATGCGCGCATATATACGGATTAGATCCGCTGCTATACATTACATTAGGTATACATCATTATGTAACTTATCGTCGACTTTCCGCATCAGTCTAGAGCTTTTAAATTACTAACACTAACATACATATGTTAGGTACGTGCATGTATACATTAGTACGTACATGTAATCTAGCCTAGGTGAGTAGCAGGTAACTACCTCGTAGGTTAAATGATTAAGATTGATGAAATAAGCATAATGTGGCGTTTCGACGCTTTTAAATAAACATTGGTTTGGGGTCTCGTTTGGGGTGTAGCCTAAGGAGCTAAGCTCTGGTATAACCAAGTATACGACCAAATATAATATCAATTCTCAAGTACGAAGTAACCATAATATTAACACTACAATTTGCGTGTCCCTTTCAATTGGGTTTATCATTTGCCTGCCCAGAGTTCAACCTCCTTGCCGACCACCCTGGGCCGATGCCGCAAGTCAAGTTTTTCCCCCCATGACTTATTGATGGATCCTTACAGGCACTGATTCGTGTCTATTCCCTGTCATACACGATGCCAACATATCCACAGTTACTGAGTAAAGTATATTGAAGTACCATACGTACAAGTATCTCTCAAAGCTCACCGTTGAACCTCGGTCGCTGTAATGGGCATTTATGTAGGAACGGAAGAAGATACTAGGACAGGGGCAAACCATAGGTTTCGTCATTACCATAGATTCACGACGCTACGCGGGGCTCAAGAGGAACAGAGGGAAAAAAAAAAAAAAAAAAAAAAAAAAAGAGTAGACGTACATACATACATACCTACTGCGACATGCGACATGTATGTGTGCTTAGCTGCTTACATAGATTGAGAGAATCTCGACTCGGAACCACTTTTATGGACAGATACTGGGACCACAGTATGAGCTCGGGCTCTTAGCTAGTATATTCCTCAATGGTGATGATGAAGACAAGCGGGGGTCATGACAGTGGACAGTAAAAAAGGAATCTTGGTACACGCGCACCCAATAAACATACGTTCGGATCCGAGCGGTCGGTCACTGCACATCTGATTCGCAGGCCCAGCTCGACTTTGTGTGAGAGATACACAATCTGTTTGATTCATACGTTGATTCATACGTCTCGTTTTCCAGGTTTGAATTTTCCGAATGATCGAGCAGCGGTATATTCGTTCGGCAAGATGGCAAGCCGAACGACAGCTCTTATTACACAACCGCATTCGTTCGTAATACAAACCTTCTTACTTCGTACACCCGCTCCATCATAGATCGTTTCGTTAGAACTCTATCTCAACTTTCTGACATCGGGGCCCCGTAGCGTGTAGTCGGACCGGAGTATC